GTCACTAACTAATCACAACTTAAAAGTAAATATCGTCCAAAAGTTACCATACGCCTCTGTCGGAAAAATGTGATTTTACAGCTTGAAAATCGTCGGGTTTTCGATGAGATTCGAAGATTTCATGTGGCAAATTTAAGGTTTTTTTGGCAACAATTCGTGTAATAATAGAACTTAATACTTGCTTAACCACGTAAATTTGACCTTTTTTGGATAATATTGATATCAACATGCAGAACCTTTGGAAGAACTCAACATTTTTAGTAATATACAGGGCATTTTGTCAATCAACTTTTATCTTAATGTATAGATCAGTATCCTTAATGTATAGATTAGAGCCGCTTTAGCCTGACTTGAAATTTTCGGAACTATTGTGACTGTTTTTTTCGAGTTAATATCAGCCCATATTCGTGGGACACCCTGTACTAAGTCAAAGTCTTTTCCAGGCCGAGCAGATAACGGAAATTCAAACTGCTGTTGACGTAACAATCAATATAAAGCAAAAAGCGAACAAAACGACCAAAGCTTGCGTGATCAAAGGCGTGGAGAAATGCGCAAGTAAAACTGATCAAACTGGGCGCCAAAAACTCCCCAAATTGATACTCAATTTTTGTTCCAGGCAACATTTACAAGGCCAGAAACATGATTTTGGGCATTGACGCAACTCCAATTTACGCCGATATTCCTGCAAACTATCACATGCCGAACGTTTCGTCCCCAGCCCAGACCAAGGAGACCGCGCCCACGCCCAGCCTCAATCCGCCCTCTCTTTCGTCGCCCCTCATTTCGCCCACCTGGTATTTTCCGTCGCCCACCACTCCGCAACAACAGGCCTCGCCTCTGTATCAGTTCACTCAAAAACAGCAGTTTTTCCCTCCCAATGCCAATCTATCTGCTTACCATCAGCAAATGGCCATGAGCACTGGGTAAGTCAATCCATACTGTATCTATAAGGCATACCTACAGGGTGTCTCACGGTCAGCGTCCATTAGAATAATGCGATTTGAATCCCGCAAATTTGGATAATGCAATTTTCGGAGGAGACGCTCTTTTCAGATGAAATAACAGCGACGTTATGCGACTTCCGGTTATTTTGGAAGTTGTTCCGAACTTCCTTATTTCAAATTGAACACCCTGTATAATGTTTCGTTCTTTTCTTTATTTTCAATAACCTTTATGAAAAGTATTTCAACCCTACCCTATCCGTTTCTGAGCAAAATATCGTTTTTTTCAAAATTTTATCATTAGGGTGGCCTCAAATTGAATATGTTTCCAAAGATGAAAGTGAAACTCAAAATCTCAGTAGCAAAATCTCAGTAGCAGGACACGGACTGTCCAGCAATTCCCAAATTTGAAGATGCAAAGCAGTCAAAACGCGATAGTTTAAAAAAAGTCCTGGCGTTAACGATCCTGCAAGCTGTAACAATAACTTTTTTGCTGTATTTAGAAACCTTTCAAATTGTTCGAGAAAAATTGGAGCAAAATCGGACAGGAGGACATACACTGTCCATGAATGCCGAAACTTGATGGTAAAGGGCAACTAAAAACGCGGAAGTTTTTTTTTAATTTTCTGACTTTATTAGTCCTGCAATTCGAAGAGCAATTTTTTTCCTGTGAATGCACCAATCTTTTGAAAGTATTCATAAAAAATTGGGATCAAATCGGATTGCACACGGACTGTCCAGAAATTCCTAAACAAGAAGATAAAAATTACCATACCAACACGATAATAAAAAAAATTACTGGGTTTAGGAATCGTGTAAGGCAGGGAGTGATTTTTTTCTGTGGATGCTTAACCTTTCTGATAGCACCCAGGAAAATTTGGAGAAAATCTAACAGGATACGGACTGTCCAGAAATTCACAAACTTGAAGACGAAAATCAGTAGAAACGCGGTAATTTTTAAAACATCTGGTTTTAACAATCCTGCAAGTTGAAGCTTGTTTTTCCTGTAGATGCACAATCCTTCTTAATACATCTATGAAAAATTGGAGTCTAATCGGTCAGGACGCGGTCTGTCCAGAAATTCCTAAACCCTAAGAAAGAAAGTACAACAAACGCGGTAGTTTAAAAAATTCTTGCTTTTATAAATCCTGCAAGTTGCATTGTGCATTTTTTTCTGTAGGTGCAAAAACTGTGCAAAAGTAACTATGAAACATTAAAGTAAAATCGGACGGGACACGGACTGTCCAGAAGTTTCCAAACTTGGAAGATGAAAAGCAGTAAAAACACGATAGTTTAAGAACATTCCTGGCGTTAACAATGTTGCAAGTTGAAGCAAGATTTGGTTTGCTGTGGGTATAGAAACCTTGCGAGACTGTTCATGAAAAAATTGTCCAAAATCGGACTGGGCACAGATTGTCCACGAATTCCGACACTCGAAGACAAAAATCAGCAAAATCGCGGTAGTTTTTAAACAGTTCTGAGTTCAATAACCATGCAAGTTGGAGAGTAAATTTTTCTCTACGGAAGCACAAACCCTCCGCAAGTGTTCATCAAAAAATCGAGTCAAATCGGACAGGACACGGACTGTCCAGCAATTCCCAAATTTGAAGATGCAAAGCAGTCAAAACGCGATAGTTTAAAAAAAGTTCCGGCGTTAACGATCCTGCAAGCTCTAACAATAACTTTTTTTGCTATGTTTAGAAACCTTTCAAATTGTTCGAGAAAAATTGGAGCAAAATCGGACAGGACGACATACACTGTCCATGAATGCCGAAAGTTGACGGTTTAGAGCAGCAAAAAGCGCGGTAGTTTTAAAAAATTTCTGACTATTAGTCCTGCAATTCGGAGCCCAATTTTTGTCCCCTGGATGCACAAATCTTTTGAAAGTATTTATAAAAAATTGGGATCAAATCGCATTGCGCACGGACTGTCCAGAAATTCCTAAACAAGAAGATAAAAATTACCTGAAACCTGATAATTAAAAAAATTACTGGGTTTAAGAATCCTGCAAGGCGGGGAGTGATTTTTTCTGTGGATGCTTAACCTTTCTGAAAGCACCCAGGAAAATTTGGAGAAAATTTAACAGGATACGGACTGTCCAGAAATTCACAAACTTGAAGATGAAAATCAGTAGAAACGCGGTAATTTTTAAAACATCTGGCTTTAACAATCCTGCAAGTTGAAGCAAGTTTTTCCTGTAGATGCACAAACCTTATTAATACATCTAGGAAAAATTGGAGTCTAATCGGACAGGACGCGCGCTACTACTACTAACCCTAAGAAAAAAAGTACAACAAACGCGGTAGTTTAAAAAAATTCTTGCCTTCATAAATCCTGCAAGTTGCATTGTGCATTTTTTTCTGTAGGTGCAAAAACTGT